TCCATCCACTAAGGCAAAGAAAAAAAAAAGCAAGGAGAACCGAACCAGGCACCAAATGCTAGGATCCAGCAAGCTTATTCAGGGGGGGGGGGGATATCTGGTGCACCGGAGCTTGTGGTGCTACCGGTGAACAAAACTCACATTGTGTTTTTAAAATTGTTCAAAAAATTCTGAAAAATAATTAGCACACTCACACAACATCAATGTAGGTTGTCACAAATGTTCAAGAAAAAATTCAAAACATAACTCAAAAACAGAAATGGCAAATTCAACACTGAATAGTACATAACATAACTTGAGCTTTAGATTTGCCCCATTATAACACTGTTGTAAAATTTGTCATTTTTGTATCTTAAAAAGTATTTTAAATTTTTATACGAAATTTTATGACATAATACATTGATATTGCGTTAACGTGCTATATTTTTTTTAGAATTTTTAAAATATTTTATGGCATCCGATGCACCGGTAGCACCGCAAATATTGGTGCACGGGATACATTCCAAGAGGGTGGCAGCGTAGCGGCCATCCTCTGCCTTTGTTTCCCGCCAATGGAGCACCACCCAGCCGGGTTGGGGTGGCCAATAACATGGATCGCAACAGGCCCATGAAGCGGTGCGGCCCAGGAAGGCCGAAGCCTGCCAGGGGGAGTGTCCTGCAGCCCTAGGGCACCTCGTGATGGCGGCGGCGAAGGCACCACCCACGGCAACGTCGAACCCGTCGGTATCCACCCGACCAGCGGCGGGGCAGTCCCAGTGCAGCTCTTAAGTTACTTTTTTTTTGCATGTTTTTGGTATTGTTCTCGACCACGACAAATTATTTGTATATACCATGGCAATTAATTTTGCATATATTTAAATGGCTAAGTGTCAGATAGAAATTAATCAACAATTGTCATGATCACAATATCAAAAAAATTCTAAATTTTCCATGTCACGGTACATTTTTCTGCATTTTACCATGATCTATAGATCCATTTTTCAAAAATTTGTCATGTCACTTGCAATATATTTTTAAAAGTTTTGCCACCACTTGTGATAGTCAGATGGAAAAAACTAATATCTTTTATTTTTATACAGTTGCCATGTGAACTTAAGATAATTATATACATTTTTGATGTAACCAATAGTTTTTGTTTGACATTTGCCATGACCTAAGAGCAAAATTTAAAATTTTGCCATGTCACTTCTTCTTTGTTTTTTCTGTATTTGCCAGCGTGTGTCTACTCACATGGCAAAGATTACAATCTGTTTTCTACAGTTGACATGGCAAATTTTAAGATAACAACATTTTTTAAAGTTGCCCACGTGTCCCTTTTTTACACATATACATTTGCCATGTCACCGCTAGAATTGTTTCTTGCATTTCACATGCCACATAAAGCACTTTTTGTAAAAAGGTGTCATGTCTCTTTTGTACTACTCCCTCCGTCGCAAACTAAGTGTCTTAATCTTAGTACAACTTTATACTAGAGTTAGTACAAAGTTGAGACACTTATTTTGGGACGGAGGGAGTATTTTCTAAAAAAGTTTCCCATTCTACAATGATGGCAAAAATTTGATTATTTTTTCAATGCCCTTGTCTTGGCAAAACTATACATCATGTCAATACAAAATTATTTTTCTAATTGCCACATGGCAAACTTTTTTGGAACATTTTTTCCTGTAAATCTGTTTTTTAATGTGTTCTGCTCTACGCATGAGTTATATATTTGGTGGTAGTTTTATTACATACATCATGGCAAATTAATCATCAAAAAATGGCAACTATTTTTTATAGTGCTAACAGATGGAGGAGGTGTTTTTGACCTTAGAACATGACAAGTTTTTTTTATCACACTTACATGCATATTTAATAGGTATGGCAATTTTACCTTTGCATGTTTTTTGTAACCGTACTCAACCATGACAAATTATTTGTATATACCATGGCAATTAATTTTCACATATAATGGAAATTACTTCGTGTATCATGTGACATTCCTTTGTTTTGTATAATCTCATGTTTTGGAAATTCTAACATATTCAGACGCATGGGCTATAAAACTGTATGCTGCTTACTTCAGGTTGTCAACAAGCACAAAGTAGGCAACATACAGACCAATACCCTGTTCATTGATTCCAGCCATCGGTGTTCTATTTTTTCATGCACGTCATCCCATAAGCACCCAAACAACAGATTCAATTTCAGTACAATGGCAACATTCGAATGGTTTTCGTATTCCCCTTCTCCTCAGTTAATGCACAGATTTAATTTCAGTACCACGTGTAGCCTTGAGGGTATGTGAGCGGTACATTTCAAGTACCATTTGCTTCCAGCACAAGTCGAGGCAATCATCTGAAAACAAAAATATCACCCCGTGTGGTTTTTCTTCATTTTCAATTTGTGCTGGCACCTGACTCTACATCTGATTTGCGAACCGTCTGCAACAAAATGTGTCACTGATTCCTGCAGATCTGCAGCGCAAATATATTTCTTCGTGAGAGATGAAGAACATGTACAGGCATCGAAACAACAAGCTGACAGGTAATTAACCTTCAGCAATCAATTTATGGCTTACTGGATCTTCGAATACTGGCAAAACCCCTCTGTTGCTTAGGAGGAAAACCGGCAAGCTCAAAGGTTGCCTGATAAGAGTACTAACCGTGGCGAATGCCAGCACCCCAAGTCTACATCTTACAAGTTGGAAGGCAGACATGTCTGTTTCATGCTGTCCGCGACGTGGGCGATAACACCAGCACCAGCGTTGTGAACCCACTCATTCTTAACCTGCATCAATGCGTAACATGTATTCTCATGAATTTGAAGAGAGTGTATCCAAGTAGAAACTGTATGTTCTCAGGAGACTCTTGGGGTGCACATCTACATACATGCATGTTGTTGTGAGCAGAGTAAGGCCACAGTGACGCGTGGAAGTTGACATCTACTTTCTTCCACCCCACTCTCTGCAAACCACGAATCATCTCCTCTGTTTTGGAAGAAAGAACTGATTTTCATACGTGCAACAGGGAATAAATCTAGGGCACACAGAGGTAGCACAGATTTCCTACTTGCCTTCCATCATCTGGTGATATTCATTGGTATTTTCCATGTTCGGTGTACTTTGTGCAGCTTCTTTAGCTCTGGCAGCCCGCGAAGGAAAATGGGGACCATCGGACGACACAGGTGAACAGTATTCCACATTCACAATGTACTTGTAGCCAT